ATTTTTTTTGAATATAAAATGGAACCAGTAATAACTTATTCTTTAAGAAGTGACAGATGGACGAAACCTATTTCAATTAATAAAATTTAGGTAAACGTGGAGAGCCATGATCAAAATGTCCTGAAAGGTTACGGCACATTTTTTAAATGGAGTAATTAACATTTAGTAATTAACTTTTTTTTTTTTTTGATCTTATGCCCAAGTGGAATAAATATTTGATCCTATCTAAAAATTTAATATTCAGGCCTTGCCAGTAAATAATCCTCGGAGTAAATCTTACTTATTATAAAACGCAGATTGTGTGTGTGTGTGTGTGTCTTTTTTTATATATTGGATCGGATTTCCTATTTTTTCAACCGATTTCAATAAAACTTCACAGGACTACGTAAAATTACCTTTGCGGTGGTTCTGATATTTTAAATTGTAATTGGAAAAACACAATTGTTTTTGCACGAAATCAATTTGAAAACACGATTAAGAGGCAACGCGAGAATGAAAGGGACAACTCATATCGAGTTATACTTATTATAAAAACCAGGTTGTTTGTTTGTGTTAAAATTTTGTGTGTGTGTGTGTTTTATTATATATGGGATCGGATTTCCTACATTTTTTCTTTAATTTCAACAACACTTTTTTTTTTTTTAGGTTTGTTTTTAAATGTCTTTTTTTTTATTTTTTTTTACATTCAGGATGCTTTAAAAATTCCATTTACAAGACAATTATTTATAATAAAAATACTATTCAATCAGTAGACTCATAACGATTGAAAACAAACAAAATTTTTGAGTTTTAGTTTTGACCAATTCGTAAAAAAAAAAAAAAATATATTTTTTTGCTTGTCCGTCAACCTTAAACAATAATCTTTGTCAATTTTATTTTTCATATTTTTTATGATGGTAGATATTTGATAAAATCTCTTAAATTGTTACATCCCCGAAACGCCGAAATCTAATGCTAAATTCAATAAAAACTTTGAAAAATATAGCAAAACTTAATAATTTTTACATTAAAATATTTTTTTTTTTTTAAACGATTTTATTTCCTATTATTGATTCATCTAGGTTTATCATTGGTAGCCCTGATGCAATTAGGCTGAGTACAACTACTGATAGTCTATGGCATCTGGATAAACATTTGTTTTGTAAATACGTACGGTGACTATTAATAATTATAGTATAAACTTTAAACTTCAATGTTAAAATAAAACAGTATTTAATTACAACCGTAAATAAATACTTAACAAGAACAAAGAAAAAATCAATCAAAGATAATTAACCATTTCAGTGAATATCGTGTTAGTAGCGCGACTCGGTTTAACGTCCGGTAAATCATAAAATGAAAAAGTAAATCCTCGACGGACAAAAATTCACAATTAATTCGATTAGAATAGTTCAATCAAATAATCACTCCAGTCAGTAAAATTGACATCGCTATTTATACACCTGGCAGAAAATTTATAAGTCCAGATTGACACGTTCGAACCTCAATGTCGGTAGTTACTCATTTTTTTCCTATATGACAGAAATTTAATTCATTAAATATCCAGGAATAGAAAGAGGAGGTAAACGCAAGAATGTTTTTAACCAGACTTATTTAACTTTTAATTTGAAATTTTAATCAAATTTGAATAAAAATCCAATTCTACCAAGATTCGGAAATTGCAAAGATATATAAAATTATACATTTATATATATATATATATATATATATATATATATATATATATATATATATAAATATGTGTGTGTGTAAAATGTGTGTGTGTGTGTGTTCCGGAGTCAGAATTCATCCATTAAAAAAAGGCTTATTAAATTCCATCAATAAAAAAAAATGTTCATGTTTTTATTATAACTTTTTAATCTTTTTAACTTCCTAATGAGATGTTATATTGAAATATTAAAAAGACAATGAATAATTCATTTCCATTTTTTTGATATTCAGTTACTTCCGACTATAATAGTCATTGTCACGAATAGGTGTTATTAATATTATGAGCAAGATTTATTTGTACAAATTCTGGCATCCATCATTAATATTCTACAAGGTTTGTCATAAAAAATACTAAAAATTCTAGAAGCCTTTATAATACAGTATTAAATAAGATATTTCATATCAACAGGAGATTGTATAATGAAGTATATATAAAAAAGAGACCGTATAAATATAGGTGTATATAACAAAAGTGACCGTATAAATAATCGATGCAAGTTTTTTTTTCGTTTGTTACAAATGTTATAACTTTGACCAGATTCCAACTCTAATACGAACAATCTAAAAATGTCAGTATTTAATATAAAAAAAACAAACTTGCTTATCCGAGTGACAACACATTTATTGAGAATGACTATGATCTTGTAAAGTACTTGAAGAGAACAAGAAAAAAACATGAACTCTGAAATTTATTCATAACTTCAATCCCGATATACAACAGCTATAATCGGAAATTGTTTGTTATAAATAAAAATGAAATAATAAACCTTTGAAAAATTTACTTTTAAGAAAACTTGTTATAAAGACTAATTTATTTAAATGAAAATCATTTCAAATCACTGTATTCAGTTGTATCATTTGTCGACAGGACATATATATATATATATATATTTATAATATATATATATATATATATATATATATATATATATATATATATAAATACATGAATCATTCATACAAAAAACAAATATAGAGGTTAATGATTTAAATGGCGAGAATACATCTTCGCGAACAATTTCAATAAGATACACCAACCCCGAACCTGTATATGAATGATTTGATCCCTGTTTATAAATTCCAGTTGCATATGGTCTTTTTTAATTTTTACAAACTTTCGTCTGTTCCTACAGACATCCTCAGGTATGGAAATAGATTTTGTTCTTGTTTTTTACTCTCGGTAATAAGAGGACAACGAAAATAGAGATGTAATCCGAAAAAAAATGCTATGAGAAATGTGTTATTGTTTTGGAACGTGCGGTCGCAACGCTGAGTTTAATTTTGAAATTTTAAGGTTGTGCGTTTTTTGTACAAATATAGTAATAAGAGAATTCTTTTTTTACTGGTAGGTTTTTCCGTCAATGTGGCATGAACTATATTGTTCAATAATTACAGGAATGTCACACTTATTATCCTAAAGTTGCACGTTGGATCAGTTATTTTAATTTTTATTGAACAATAATTTCTTTACAATTGGAATTAAAATACCTTTAGTTAACGTATGTCTTAAGTCCAATTATGTATATATATATATATATATATATATCTTCGACTCTCCCGTCGAATTCGACGTATGAGGGTCAAGCAGATCAGTTCCCAGGAAAAGGAAAATAAATGGTTTGGTTCTAAATTCCAAACACCTGAAGAAGACCGGAGCGTAAAACGGCCGAATCGTTGTTAATATGCCAGTGAAGATGAGAATAGCAGTTCGAATGTAAATTATTTTTTTTTATAGTTAATTACCAACAATACATTTTTTACAAAAATAACAAGCAATACATTTTATTATATCAAAATTTTTCAAAAAAATTTTTCATAATTACTTTAAATTATATAAAAATTATTCGGACTGTTATCCTTTTCACCATTGCCATATTCACAACGTTTCGGCTGTTGATATTAAATGAACCTTTTCAGGTAATTGAAATTCAAAGCGAACCCTTTTAGTAGTATTTGAGACCGAACTACCTACAGATAGACTCTTCCAGGCCTATATTAAACAGGCGACATAGCACTCTAGAGAGACAGTGAGAGCCGCGTACGACTACCAGTATTGACACTAACATATAGTAAGCTCCGTGTGTACACTATCTCTGTAACCTGTTGTTAATATATCTTTTTTATTTTTAATCCAAGTTCCGTGTTTCCCTTCTGTGGTCCCGACTTTGGCCCCACATCAGTTAGGTATCTCTTTTTGAAAAAAATATTACACACAATATATTTTTGAAAGAAAAAAAAATGACCAGCAATAAATATCTTGTCGGCATTAAATAACCTCTTGAGGTGTTGATATGCCGTAAAATAAAACAAACCAAACCAAATTAAGAGATGGTTCTATGCGCCTCATAACCTCCAGTCTCTCGATCAGCTACCTTGCTGCCGGGTGTAGTTGATCGTCATATCCATGACGAATAAATAATAAGTAGAAGTCTCTTCTTTCATCTTGCCGCTAATTAAGTTTGACCAATCTCTGATTGTCCTTTGATTGTATTGTCTGCTTCTAAAGTTTTATCTCATAATCCATGACCGGATTTCATTTCTTGTCAGTTCGGGGTCGGGTTGCAAGTTTAAATCTATTATCTTGACGACGTCTCTGGCGCTGGATATCGCTATCTCGTGCTTAAGTTTAGCCATCAATTTACCGGATCTTGTCATGTTGCTCTTTATCGCCGTCTGTTTTTCAGCGAAGCCGGCGAAGCGCCCTATGCCCTCAGCTTCGGATAACTGATCTTTTAATTTTAGACGCTAAATATGTGTACAGATCAGCGACAGGCTTATTGGCCTCGTAAGCTGCTAATAGAGAATTCAATAAACGGGATTTTACAATATCTTACTTTCTTCCATGCTCTCAGGCTTTAAAACTTCTATTTGTCGTATCTCTTCAGGGCGTAGGCGTTCTTGCCTCTCCGCAACTTACAATCTTTTCTTGCCGGAATCTATTATACATATCTATAAGTTTACCATTCGTTCATGCTTAGAACATTGCTGCCATATATGGTCCGGTGTCTCTGCTATTTACCTTGAAATCCAAAGAAAAATCAGCAATATTATTGGTCCTGATCTGTCGCTTCGGCTTAAGTCACTTTCCCAACGCCGTAAGGTTGCCTCTCTGTCTTTTCTATAAATATATTCATGGTAATTATTCAGATGAGATCTTCGTTAAGGTATCCAGACTTTAGTCTATTATTCATCTATGCTTTGAATATTGCTTCCTCATATGGTCTGGTGTCCTTTCTGTTTACTTTCATCTCCTTGATAAAATCCATAGTAGAATCAGCAATATTATTGGTCCTGATCTGTCGGCTCGGTTTCAGTCACTTTCCCACCATCGCAAGGTTGCCTCTCTGTGTTTTTTCTATAAATACATTCATGGCAATTGTTCAGATGAGCTCTTCATTAAGTTACCTAGAATTTAGTCTATTCTTCATCTATGTTTTGAATATTGCTGCTACATATGGTCTGGTGTATTATTGGTTCTCATCTGTCGGCTCGGCTTAAGTCACATTCCTACCGCCGTTAGGTTGCCTCGCTGTGTCTTTTCTATAAATACTTTCAGAGTTTACCTTCAGCTCCTTGATAAAATCCAAAGAAGAATCTGCAATATTATCGGTGTGGATCTGGCATCTCGGCTTCAGTCATTGTCCAACGCCGTAAGGTTGCCTCTCTAGGCCTTTTTTATAAATACTTTCATGGTAATTGTTCGGACGAGCTCTTCGCTATGGGAGTTAGACTGTATGAATTATAAGCGCACTACTAGACGTCGAGATCTCATAAATTTACAGCTGAGCTGGCTAGATGTAACCGTAAGTTCTATGCTAACAGTTTCTTCATCTCGAACATCTCGCTTGGGGAATTCTCTTGCGTCCCCATGTTTTCCTGCCAACTTTAATCTGCAAAGGTTTTAATGCAATGCCAATCGCTATCTACTGTCCTTCTGATTACTCTTTTCTTTTCCCGCGCATTATTAATGTTTCTGTTCCTAATTCTTCCACACGCAGCAACCCCTTGTGTCTTAGTGGCTTTACTGCCTTGATTGGGGTGATACCGAATGAAAAAATACTATCATCATTCTATCTATCTATCTATCTATCTAATTCTTTTCTCACACCTCTCGCTTGTGAAACTCTCATCCGCTTCTAAACTCTCCAGTCAACTGTAATCTTCAAAAATTTGAATGCAATACCAATCGCTATCTACTGTCCTCCTGATTAATCTTTTCTCTTCCCGCGCATTATTATTGTTTCTGTTCCCAGTTCTTCCACCCTCTGTAACACCTTGCGATTTTTTGGCTGTGCCGCCATGCTTGTTATCAAAATTCATTAACTACTTCATTACACCCATACCTACGCCCTTCCCCAATTACAGCATCACATCCACCCACGAATTACAGGAGAGTTTCTACACTCTCTGTGTCCAGAAAAGAAAACACTTGTTTAAACACAAGAAAAATTAAATAAACTATTCAAATGCAATGTCAATCGACATCTCCGGAAGCCTTAATCTATTACCCGACCTTCTCTTTTTCCTTCCCTCTATCTTGCTTCTTTACTCTTTCTCCCACTCTCTGTAACCGCTGCGTGCTAGCCTTGCTTGGGTGAAAACTTATTATTAAAATATCAGAATTTACACTATTTACATTGTTGGGACCTTTGTCCTCATTTTTTTGTCCTATTTATTACAACGTTTCATCCGTTGTACGCTCCAGCCTTCTTCAGGTGGTTGGAATGTCAAACTGAACCCTTTATACTCACTTTCTCACAGACGTGATGTGGCTTCCCTCTGTCTTTTCTACAAACATTTTCAGGGCAACTGCGCTGACGAACTACTTTCACTGGTACCCCAACTGCATGAATTTCAGCGTACTACTAGGTTGGCATCTCTGCCGCACCCTTTCCTTGTCTAAACAGTTAAATGTAACCGCCTCTTCTACTCCAACAGCTTCTTCGCTCGCTCTCTAAGCAAAGCAATAAAGCCAGTAAGATGAAAGGGGTAACTGAGTGTGAAAGAATATGAAAAAAGAAAAAAAAGAAAAACATTAAGTAGAGAGAAAAGTAAAAGAACACGAATTAAGTAATTGAAAAAAGTCCTAAATGAAGAAAAATGAAATTGGAATTGTAAAAATTAATTAAATATTTTTATGGCAACTACTTTGACGATCTACTTTCACTTTACCCCAATTGCATAAATTTGAGCGTATACTAGGTTGGCATCTCGGTCCCACCCTTTCATTGTCGAAACGTTTAAATGTAAACGCCTCCATACTGGGTCCTACACGGTTTCTGATCTTCCACAACGATCTTCTTGATGTCATCAGTTCCCAAGTAGGCATCTGCGCAGACGACACTAGCATTTGCTCCTGTCCCTGTAATAAACCCGGCATTGATGACAAAGCTAACCTGGCCGTTTGTCTCGAAAAGGATCTCCAATTTGTGGTTGACTGGGGCAGGAAATAGCTTGTAAACTTTAATACCACCAAAACGAAACTGCCCTCAATGTTATAGAGTTCAGTGAGAAACCTTCCAGCCTCCTATCAGAATAGCTTATGTCCAACTCCACAAGAGAGCCTCTCTTCGCCTTCTTGGTCTCACGTTTTCCACTGACGACATTGAATCAATGTCTACATCTACCGCAAGGAAAGTTGTTTCTCTGTGTCGGGCCAGAAGGTTTTTCTCGCCTGAGTCCATCCTTCAAATCTAGAAATCTATTATTCGTCCTTGCATTGAATACTGTTGCCATATATGGTCTGGTGCTCCCGCCGTTCATCTCGAGTTCCTCGACAAAATCCAAAGACGGATATGCAATGTGATAGTTCCTGATCTGGCATCTCGTCTACAGTCAATTTCTCATAGACCTGATATGACTTCCTTCTGTCTTTACTGGAGCAAGCTGAGTGAATACTCATTCAACATTGAGAAAGAGAGCTATTTATGGTGCAATGGAGCATCTCATTATGCTAAAGTGGGATAGTCCATTGCTTGGGCTGTGATTGGCTGCTGGTACCTGAGTGGAAGTATTTCTATATAAATACTAGCATGATTTCTCAATTAGTTTGCAGGGTTTGTATTAAGTTACAACCTGCTTTATTTTTGTCTGCCAGCTGGACGCTAGCTGGGACTCTTACGCCGGTAAGTGTTGTTTATTATTGTTATTCTACATTTACTACAAATATTTTCGTGTCAACTGCTCTGACGAGCTACTTTCACTGGTACCCCAACTGTATGAATTTTAAGCGTGCTACTAGGTTGGCATCTCAGTCCCACCCTTTCACTGTCCAAACAGTTAAATGTAACCGTCTCTTCTACTCCAACAGCTTCTTATCACGCACTTCCCGACAGTGTAACTCCCTTCCTCTTACTTGCTTCCCTGATATCTATAATCTTCAAATATTCAAATGTAATGTCAATCGACATCATCAAATGCCTTGATCCTGATCCCCGTCCTTCTCTATATCCCTTCCTCAAACACCCCTCTTTTCACTTGCTCTCACTCTCTGTAACCCTTTGCGTGCTATTGGGGTGAAATGCTTAAAAAATATTATAGAAATATTTGTAATGGTCTGCTAAAATTTACTTATATATCACGCTTTTAATTATTTTATTATTTAGTTGTTTTAATTCGCGTTTTTTATCAGTTATTTCTGTCAAAGTTTTACTAACATTTATTTGCAGTCGCTTTTTTATGTCGATACGAATATATAAACTTAAAAATATTAAAAACTAAACACGCATTTTAATAATTCCTCCTTTTTTTTCTCCGTCTGATTTTGAAGGAGAAAAAAAAATGTTACAATGTCATTTGTGTTCGTTAAACTTCGGAAACTATATTCAAATACCAGACGTTTTTTTCCGACCAGTGCTCTTAAACTGTCGATAAAATTCTTCCTTAAATCATTTTGCTGTCTATTTTGAATATTCTTATATTGAAGCTTAATCTCCCCGTAAAATCAGTGCATTATAGCGAGACCTTTTCTCATTATGAAAAAGAAGGGCAGACGACTTCCGGGGGATTTTCAAATGAGCTTCCATTGAAAGACGAACTGTCTAAACGCTATCCGGTGTTTTCAAGAGACACGATTGGATTAAAAAAAAGAAGCAAATACGCCCTCTTGATTTTAGAACTGCTGCAGTTCGCATTTAATGGCATCTTTTTTATTTTTTATTTTTGTCTGTTTTGTGGATATCTCGTGTGAGACAGAGTTTAAGGTTACTTGATTAGGTGTCAAGGAAAGAAAACTAGCATGAAAAAGAAGAATTAAAATGAAAAGAAATGAAGAATAATAATGAATAAATAAATACGAAATTTTAAAAATAAAAGAACGTTGTGAAATAAAAAATATGGACACAAAGCTGGTAAATCGACGGTAGAATGAATATAAAGCATCACAAAAGAAAGAAAGAAAGAAAGAAAGAAAGAAAGAAAGAAAGAAAGAAAGACTGACTGAATGAAAGAATCAAAAAGGAAAACAAGGCAGAATGAAAATGGAAAGAAAGAAAAAAGACAAATGAAAGAATAGGGGAAAAAGAAATAAAACAACAGCTGAGAAATAATAAAAAAACAAAAGAAAAAACTGAGAAAGGAAGAAAATAAAAGGAAGAAAAAAAAGAAAGAAATAATATAAAATAAAAGAAAGAACATAAAATAAAAGAAAGAAAAAGAAAGAAAGAAAGAAAGAAAGGTAGAAAGAAAGAAAAAGAAAGAAAGAAAGAAAGAAAGAAAGGTAGAAAGAAAGAAAAAGAAAGAAAGAAAGAAAGAAAGGTAGAAAGAAAGAAATGCTACTCCAAAAAGGAAAGAACAGAAAACTGAAGCAAAAAGAAAGAAAGAAAGAAAAAGAAAGAAAGAAGATGAAAGAAAGAAAGAAAAAGAAAGAAAGAAGGTGAAAGAAAGAAAGAAAGAAAGTAAGAAAGAAAACAAAGATAGTGAAAACACGGAAAGAAAGAAAGATAGAAAGAAAGAAAGGTAGAAAGAAAGAAAGAAAAAGAAAGAAATGCTACCCCAAAAAGGGAAAGAACAGAAAACTGAAGCAAAAAGAAAGAAAGAAAAAGAAAGAAAGAAAGAAAGAAAGAAAAAAAGAAAGAAAAAGAAGAAAGAAGGAAGGAATGAAACAAAAAAACTGAAAACAAACTGAAAAGAAAACAATGTCTATCATTTATTTTTAGACTTTGATTCCGAACTCAAAAAAAAAAAAAATTAAATAAATAATTAAGAAAATTAAATATCAGAAAAAAAAACAAACAAACCTGAAAACACAGGAAATAGTAAACAGTAAAAAGGCATAAAATTCCAAAGACATTGCGTTTTATTCTATTTACTTAATTAAAATTTCTTACACTAAAAATGAAAAGATTACGAAAGGTAAAAAGGGATTACAAACTAAAAAGGAACAGATTAGTTTCCGATATTGTCCGAGTAAATTGACGTTCTTTATACTTGAGTCGATATGTAAATATTGATCGGGTTTTGTACTTGAGTCGTTATGCAAATACTGGTTGTATTTATAAATTTGTATTTTACTTGAGTCGATTTATAAATACTGGTTGCATAACATGTAGGGAAACACTGATCATCTCTAGACTTGAATCTATATGTAAATATTTGTCGTTTTTATACTTGAGTCTACTGTTTCCATTTATACTTGAGTCTATATGTAAACACTAGCTGTATTTATCCTTGGGTGTATATGTAAAAAATGACCGTGTTTATACGTGAGTCAATATATAAATTCTGGTCGTATTTACATGTGAATCTATAAGAAAACATTGGACGCCTTTATACTATTAGACTCTATGGTTGTGTTTATACTTAAGTTTATAGCAGAGACTGAACCGTATTTATTCTTAAGTCTATGTGTAAATATCAGTCCTGGTTATACATGAGTCAATATATAAATTCGGGTCGTATTTACATGTGACTCTATCGGAAAACATTGTACGTCTTTATACTTGAGACTCTCTCTTTCTCTCTCTCTCTCTCTCTCTCTCTCTCTCTCTATATATATATATATATATATATATATATATATAATTCTCTCCGTGAATATTAATCATGTTTAATCTTGAGTTTCTCGGTGAACACCCGTAATTTTTTTTTTTATACCTGAATCTATTGGGAAATGTTCATCGTGTTTATACTAGAGCCTATCAGGAAAACTGGTCTGGTGTATACTTGAGACTATAGATAAATATATTTTGTGAGTATTATTCTAAAGCAATTATCCGAAAAATATTTATTCGAACTGCAAATTGTTTCAATGAAAATTAATCGAAAGGACAATTATACGAAATGAAAATTAATGGAAATACTTACGTTTGCAGTACGTATGAAGTATTGCTTTGAAAGAGGCAATGATGATTTACCTAGAACTAATAACGCCCTTGAAGGATGGCATAAATCTTTTTTGCAGCAAGTGTCATCACATCATCCCACAATATGGAAATCCTTAGACGTTCCTAAAAGAGAACAGGACTTGCAAGAAATTCATATTGCTAAAATATTTACAGCGCCAAGAAATACCGCGCGGTAAATGGAAAACTTAAAACATTAGTGGCATTCTTTAAAAGAATACTCTTTAGTAGTTGACTATTCGCATGCAGTATTATATAATTTAAGATTATAAGGATTTTTTACGTACTAAATTGTTTTATTAACGCTATTTACATATCGAATAATTATCATCGTATGATTTTCTAGATACGAGTCTCTCAAACGAACTTTCAAAATAAAATATATTATATGAACATTGTTCGAAAACAATTCTTCGAAAAACATTTTTTCGAATTGTAAATTGTTTGAATGAAAATTAATCGAACAGACAATTATACTAAATAATAATTATTCGAAATGTAAAATTCTTTATTGAAATAAAAATGTCAAAATTAAAAGAGGAAATATGCAAATGATAATTATTTGAAATATATCGTTAAGACAATATAGTAAGAAAAAAATCCGTATAAACTTAAGTTATATGATACTGCACGCAAAATTCATCGATGGAAGAGTACCCGTTAAAAGAGTTCCCTAATTTTTTGAAGTTTTTTTTTTATTTACGTTGCAGTATTTGGGGCTCTTGATATTTTGGCAGCCTGCTCTTACTTTTGCATTATGGATTTCTTGCAAGTCCTGTTCTCTTTTAAGAGCGTCTAAGAATTTTCCATGTTGTGCTGGTAGTGTCTGTCGAGTCTATAGGAAAACATTCCCCATCTTTATACTTGAGACTATATGCAAATATTTGGGGTGTTTATACTTGAGAGTATATGCAAATATTTATTCTGTTTATACTTGAGACTATATGCAAATATTTGTGGCGTTTATACTTGAGAATTTCTCTTGATATTTTGGCAGCCTGCTCTTACTTTTGCAATATGAATTTCTTGCAAGTCCTGTTCTCTTTTAAGAGCGTCTAAGAATTTTCCATATTGTGAGATGATGGCATGACACTTGATGCAAAAAAGACCTATACCATTGTTCAAGGACGTTATTAGTTCTAAGTAAATCAACATTGACTCTCTCAAAGGCAGTCAACATATGTATTTCAAACATAGATATTTCGAATAATTATCTTTTAGTACAATTAGCCTTTCGATGAATTTTCATTCAAAGGATTTACAATTCGAGTAAATGTTTTTCGAATAATTGCTTTTGAACAAATATTCGTTGTGTCGATAATATTGATCACCCAGACCCGAATTCACCAGGATCCACCTATAAAGTGAAGGGTGGAGCTTTTCATCTCTGTCAAAGATGCAGTCGTACTTTTGACGTTTTGCAATATTTACGAATACAACGAGTTCTTTGTAAGTTTATGATTTAAAGTAATCTTTTTTTTCCTGTCACTGATTTTGTTGAAGGATATATATTTATATATTTGTCTACAAAAATATTATTTCGCCTCTTTCGATTGATATAAAAAATATGTTATAAATATTCCAATGTATCTTAACTATAAACTTCCAACACCAGTAAAGCTATACGATTTATTTTTTTTCGGTCACTTCTAGCAAGAAATAGCAACTCCCACAGGGTTCGGGTGATATAAAATGAGTTACCTGAACACAGAGCTGATTTCCATATATACTATTAATCTCGCATCTAGCAGATTTAAATCTGGATGAGCGGATATATGTTGCAGATGTCAGTAAATTTCGTGGAGCTCAACCCCCAAAATAGAAGTCAATCATGGATAATATTTGAACTGGCCAAGATAAATATAATAACGCAATGACTCCAGTAATGCGTAGGCTAAACTACGTAGCGTAGCCGCCGTTATTCAGTAAAAACTATCGAGGTATATATATATCATTAGACAAATGGCGCTAATTGTTGGCATTTTACATTTTGATCAAGCTGTGATAAATACGAACATTTCGGTTGAGAAAGTTGATTTTACGACATAACTATGATGTAGTCTTCACTCGAGCAGCTTCTTTCGGACCGACTCCCGAGAGGATGCTTTCTCAATCACTAAAATCTTAATCTGTTCAATTCTTGGATTAACCGTTACCTTCCCCACATATTCACATGGCCCACAGGTCGGTAACCTTTTGGATAGAGAGGGCCAGACAGCTTTGCAGTTTCCCAGAGTAAGGCTCATGATATCAAATGTACTATAATTACTACTCGATCTCAGACCGATTCGCCCAGAAGGCTTCTTTGGTCTAGACAATGAAGTTAATGTCATTATTTAAAAAAAAAGGTTCCTTATTTTATTGCAGGAATAACAAGATAACAATTAACGCAATCAACAAAAAATGAAAATTTGTTTACTACAAACGAAATACAGGTAGAAATGGTATATTATTTAATGAGACACTTGTTTCTGTTTATTGCTCGATAGCCTCTCCACATCATGTAAAATATTTGTCGATGGCAGGAGCAAGACGTCATCTATCTGATCATCGCCTAACATTGTTATTAAACGACTTTCTTTCGTAACAAAGAAAAGATTACTGAGTTGCTTCGTGGCATCTGTCCTCCTTTACGGCAGCAAATGTTGGACGGTCTCCTCAATGATGAAGAAGAGACTCGAGGCAACAGAGGTATGGTTTTACAGGAGGATGCTGAAGATATCATGGACCGAACATGTAAGCAATGATGAGATTTTAGTAACAAAGAGAAAGAGTACTGAGTTGCTACGTGGCATCTGTTCTCCTTTACGGCAGCGAATGTTGGACGGTCTCCTCAAAGATGAAGACGAGACTCGAAGCAACAGAGGTATGGCGCTACAGAAGGATGCTAAGGATATCATGGTCAAAGACGCATTCCAAAAGCTAGGCAGTTTATTACGAAACAGGAGGGTTTCATTGGTAACAAAGAAAAGAGTACTGAACTGCTACGTGGAATCTGTTCTCCTTTACGGCAACGAATGTTGGATGGTCTCCTCAAAGATGAAGAAGAGACTCGAAGCAACAGAGGTATGGTTCTACAGGAGGATGCTAAGGATATCATGTCCAAAGACGTATTCCAAAAGCTAGGCAGTGTATTACGAGACAGGAGGGTTTCATTGGTAACAAAGAAAAGAGTACTGAGCTGCTACGTGGCATTTGTCTTCCTTTACGGCAGCAAATGTTGGACGGTCTCCTCAAAGATGAATACGAGACTCGAAGCAACAGAGGTATGGTTATACAGAAGGATGCTGAGGATACCATGGACCGAACGGTCCGAACATGTGAGCAACGATGGTACTCACAGGGCAAATATAGGAAAAGAAAGACAAAGGAAAACAACCCGTGACATGACTAAGAGGCTTAAGCAAGTGAATTATTGTTCAATAACCTTTCCACATCAGGTAAAATATTTGTCGATGACAAGACTAAGATGCCATCTATGTGATTATCGACCAACATTGTTATTAAACGACTTTCTTTCTTAACAAAGAAAAGAGTACGGAACACTCCAGTTTTAACGCCAAATGACTGAATTTTGAGCAAACTGCGGTATATTTATCCTGCAAGATAAACAGAGGCCTATTCATGCGCGCACCATTCGGCTTTAAAAACCATGGAAAATAACTACGTATAATATTGTAATAATTACGTCATGTCTTCATGCCACATTGGGACATTTCGCTAAAGTGGTAGCTGAAGTTACTATTGACCCTTAGTGAGGTTTCCTCAAAGGTGAAGAAGAGGCTCGTGGAAACAGATATATGGTTCTACAGAAGGATGATAAGGATATCATGGACCGAGCATGTGAGCAACAATGAGATTTCAGAGAGGAAAACTTATACTTAACATCAGAAAGACACAGTTGAAATTTCTACAGAAGGATGCTGAGTATACCATAGACCTAACATGT